ACTGGGAAGAGCACTGAGAAACAGAGGCTCAGTACACTAAAGACCCAATACATGGACTGTAAATCTGTGCCTGCAGAAAAGAATCAGTGTGAAGGTATAACAATTAAGGATGAAGACTCGGGTCAAAAATTTAGGATCAGTGGTGGCAAACGATACAAGTAATATTGCTTGCTTGTAATCAAGGGACACCAATTATCATAGGTGATTTCTATCTACATATTAACAGTAAAACTCAGATTGGCATTAGTAACTTGGAAGAGGAGTTCGTTGAATGACTTTGAGAAAGTTTCTTAGAACAGTTTCTAGTACCAACCAGTCAGCAAGTTATACTAGACTTGGAAAAAAACTAAATAAAAACCAAAAGAATGGCGGACGCTGTAAATCAGAAACAAAAACAGAAATTGCTGGAAAAGCTCAGCAGGTCTGGCAGCATCTGTGAAGAGAAATCAGAGTTAATGTTTTGGGTCCAGAAGGTGTTCTGAATTAGGGTCACCGGACTGGAAACTTAAGGAAACAGCAAATAATTGCACAAATCTGAGTGGCAGGTCAGATGTTTGGATAAAATGTAGAGAATGACTAAAAGGTTTTTCACAAGAAAGAGTATTGGTCCTCAAGATACTGTGAAGAAGTTGTTTTTATTAGTTTTTATGACTATTAGTGAGTTTCAAAAGTGGAGAAAAAATGAATTTTGGTTGTCAGTTCTACAAAGGTCTGACCTAATCTTTTACAAAAAGGTCAAGGGAGATGGTATAGCAGTAACATCACTACATTAGCAATCCAGAAGCCCAGACTAATTCTCTGGGGACAGAAATTCAAATCTCATCATGGCAGCAGCTAGTGAAATTTGAACTCAATTGACAAATCTGAAATTGAAAGTTCAGTAAGAGTGACCACGAAACTACCAATTGTTTTACAAATCCATTGAGTTCACTAATGCTCTTTAAGGAAGTAAATCCATCAGGTTGGATGGATTGGCTGTGCTAAATTGCCCATTGTGTTCAAGGGTGTGCAGGCTAGGTGGATTAGCCATTGGAAATGCAGGATTACAGGGATAGGGTAGGGGGATGAGTCTAGATGGGATGCTGTTTGGAGGGTAATGTGGACTTGATGGGCTAAATGGCCTGCTTCTATACTCAGATCCACATCAACTTGGTTAGTTTTTCTCTGCCTTCTGAAATTGTATTGTTAGGCTGAAAGTACCTAATAGGTTATTTAAAGTCTGATCAAAATGATTACAAGACATGTGCACTTTAATTTACAGCTAATTTATTAGCTTAATCTACTTAATATATACAAACTAATGAGTGAATCTATTAGCTTAAACTACTTATACATATGCAAACTAATGAGTCTTACTGTCTTGTCTTCACACAGGAAACTTTGGACAGCTGGCACTTGGAATTCTATCTCAGATTCCATGGCACTAGTCTTACAAACCCCAGTTTGATGGTGAAGGTTCATGGCCCTGGTCTTAAAAACTCGGTCCGAAATGGAAAAATCCAACGAGTGGGACAAAGCCCTGATATCAATACTATTTGGGTTACATGCTATATCACCATTTCTTTCGTACTTTCAGTACTTTACCAAACATTCAATTGTGCAGAAAACAAGTTGAAAACATCTCCAGGTGGTTTCATGTTAACGGCATAAAAGAATGGCTTCCTGCAGACAATCAAGGTTTTGGAGTTAACTCCCAGCCAAAACAAGCTGTTTTTAAACCAGGATTGTTTTCATGTATTTTTCCACTTTGCTTCAATTGCATATAGTCGTCTCCAATTAATCCTTAAACATTAACCCTTAATAGTCTAGTTTGGAGATATCATTGTTAAGCCCAATGGCCTAGCAAACTAATCAGTTCAAGGGCGATTGGAGATGGGCAAAAACGCTAGCCTCACCAGCAATGGGCACATTGCATCAAAGCATAAAACAAATTAATTCAACAGTTTAGAAAATAGAAGATCATGTGATTTTAGCTAAATAACTAGTAAGCCACCTGGGGAGATAATTGCTGAGGCATTTTTAGATTTGAGTTTTACAACCCAGAAAAGGGCCAGAAACAGTTTCATTCAGAGATAAGAAGTCATTAACCACAGTGTGCTGTTAGTAGCTGTCATGATTGGAAGTAGTTCTAAAGTGTTCAGAAGTCAGCGGGAAGAAAATTCTCAATGCTGAAGGTTGTGGGACCCTAAGCAATATACCATTTGCTTCCTTCACAATCTGCTGCACTGCATGCATACCTTCAGCAACTGGCGTACAAGGCCACCCAGGTCTTGTTGCACCTCTGCCTTTCCCAACCTATTGCTGTTCAGATAATAATTTGCCTTCCTGTTTTTGCTACCAACATGGATAATCTCACAGTTATCCATAATATACTTCATATACTTCCCCTTAAACATCAACAAATATTTCACGTCAGGATTTACTGTGGAGAAAGACATGGAGTCTAGGGAATTTGGGGAAATAAATATTGATGTCTTGAAAACAGTCCACATTACAGCAGAGGAGGTGCTGGAGGTCTTAAAAAACATAAACATAGATAAATCTCTGGAACCTGATCAACTGTATCCCGAGACATTGTGGGAAGCTATGGAAGAACTTGTAGGGCCGCCAGCAGGGATATTTGTATCATCGACATCAACAGGTGAAATGCCGGAGGACTGGAGGTGGCTAACACTGTGCTTTATTTAAGAAAAGTGTAAGGAGAAGCCCGCGAACTATAGACCGATGTGGTTGACAGCAGTGGTGGGTAAGTTGTTGGAAGAGATTCTGAGAGACAGGATTTACATGCATTTGGAGAGGCTAAGACTGATTAGGGATAGTTGGCATGGCTTTGTGCATGGGAAATCATGTCTTACACTTGATTGAGTTTTATGAAGACATGACCAAAAAGATTGATGAGGGCAGAGCACTAGACTTTATCTGTATGGACTTTAGTAAAGCCTTTGACGAAGTACCACATGGTAGACTGATTAGTAAAGTTAGATCACATGGGATTCAGGGAGAGCTTGCCAATTGGATACAAAATTAGCTTGGCAATAGGAGACATAGTGTGGTAGTGGAGGGTTGTTTTTCAGACTGGAGAAGTGTGGCCAGTGGTACTCTGGGTTGGTGCTGGGTCCACTGTTGTCTGTTATTTATTTAAACAACTTGAATGAGAATTTAGGAGGAATGGTTAGTATGTTTGCAGATGACACCAAAATTAGTGGTAAAATAGACAGTGAAGACAGTTATCTAAGGTTACAAAGGGATCTTGATCAATTGAGCCAATGGGCTGAGGAGTGACGGATGGAGTTTAATTTGGATAAATGTGAAGTGTTGCATTTTGGTAAGGCAAATCAGGGCAGGACTTATACACATAATGATAGGGCCCTGGGCAGTGTTGTCGAACTCTAAGGGTTCCGGTACATAGTGCTTTGAAAGTTGTGACACAGGTAGACAGGGTGGTTGAGAAGGCATTTAGCATGCTTGCTTTCATTGCTCAGACCATTGAGTACAGTTGGGACATCATGTTGAGGTTGTACAGGATGTTGGTGAGACCATTTTGGAGTACTGTACAGTTCTGGTCTCCCTGCTACAGGAAGGATGTTATTAAATTGGAGACAGTTCAGAGAAGATTTGCTAGGATGTTGCTAGGATTTGAGGGTTTGAGCAAAATGAGAGTCTGAATATGCTGGGACTTTTTCCATTGGAGCATAGGAAGTTGAGGGGTGACCTTACAGAGGTTTATCAAATCATGAGGGGCATAGATAAGGTGAACAGCAAAATTCTTTTCCCTGGGATAGGGGAGTTCAAAACTAGAGGGCATATTTTTAAGGTGAGTGGAGAAAGATTTAAAAGGGACCTAAGAGCAACTTTTTCACACAGAGGGTGGTTCATATGTGGAATGAACTGCCAGAGGAAGCGGTAGATGCAGGTACAGTTACAACATTTAAAATACATTTGGACAGATACCTGAATAGGAAAAGTTTAGAGGGATATGGGCCAAATGCAGGCATGTGGGACTAGTTTAGCTTGGCAAACTTGATTGGCATGGACATGTTGGACCAAAGGGTCTGTTCCCATGCTGTATGACTCTATGACTCTATATGGCATGCATTAGCCCATTCACTCAATCTATCCAAACTGCAGTGAAGTATCTCTGCATCCTCCTCATTCACCCTCCTACTTAGCTTTGTGTTGTTTTCAAACTTGGAGATATTATATTTAGTTCCCTCATCTAAATCATGAATATATATTGTGAATATCCGAGGTCCAAACACATATCCCTGTAGTACCCTACTGGTCGCTGCCTGCTACTCAAAAAAAGACCCCTTTATTCCCAATCTATTTCCTGGCTGACAACCAGTTCTCTATCCATGTCAGTATACTACCCCCAACCCCATGCACTTTAATTTTACAAGCTAATCACTTATGTGGGATCTTATCAAAGCTTTCTTAGCTAAAGGCATTTCAATAGTCCTTAAGGGAGCATGTAGAGTAACAGCACAAGGAGCCGTTGTTAGGTACCCCGGCACATAAGGGTTAGTGCAAACACGCAGATTTGGGCAGACAGCACCCAGAATGTGGTCAAAGCAACAGTCAAAGCAAATGGCTGTATGGACTCAGACTCCCGCTCTGATGTCGTTGGAATTTCAGTGCTGGATCTTTGTGCCATAGCACAGCAGAGCGCAGTGTCCACCGTGATCCTGGTGTGAGACAACCTCCCCCTAATTGCCCATGGTGCTGTCCCCTCCTGGGCCACTTGAGGATCAGAGGGTGGGAGTGGGGTTGAGTGGGTATGAGGAGCTTCTGAGGGGAGGAGGTGGATGTACAAGGATGACAGGGGAGTGGAAATAGAACAGAGAGGTGGAGGAATTGGAGAAAGAGAATGTGAAACTGTCTGGGAACATTTTGATATATACGTATATATAAACATAAATTATTATTGTTGCCCCATCTTCCGGATGTTTCTGCGCCTTTAAGATCCCCAGCTTTCTATTACTGCAGTGGTATAAACTTACCCCACTTCCCAATTGAAACTTCTTTTGATCCCATTGTCATTGCCAGGCTGTACTTTGATGGCTGCTCGGTGTTTGTTTTTCACTCTGGGACCCGTCTCACCGGAACTCTAACCTGAAGAATTATTACTTCCCATTCCCAGTGTCTGGTGTCAGGCTGTAGATAGGTGCTGGATCAAGGATCAGCGTGTTTCTCCCTTTTATTTTCTTGTCTAAAAGAAAGACAAAGATACTAAAACCATAGGAAGATGGACAGAGAATGCAATGACCCATTTTTGTAAGGATTTGGATTAGATTTGCAATTGAGCAAATAACTAATTAAATCATTCCACTGGGAAAAGTTTCATCAACAGTATAACACGTAGTGAGAGGTTAATGCCTGAGTATTGTCTCGGCTGCTTTATATTGGACCCGGTTCAAGGAGCCGGGTTCAAGTAGGACAGGCAGCTATAGAGAGATCTGCAGGTGGCCAGCGTAAATGGGCGAACAGCACAGAAAGGAAAACACTAAGGTACTAAGGTTTAGCTCAAAGGAGGCGCTATCTTGGTAAAGGATGGCTTAGCTGCCTTGACTTGTAATTGCAGACACTAAGATTGTAGTACTCCTTGCGGAATATGCTGGTAAGCCATGAACAGTGGCTCTGCAAATCATTGCCTCCACATCCTTTCAGACACTTATCCAGGATCTTCAGGTGGCACAAATAAGTAAAAAAGGCTTTACTCAGTGGAAATTGTTTGCTGCGAATGACCAAACAGGAAGAGCGGGCTGTCAGGTTTGTGTTTCCAATAGGGTTCAAATGGGAATGAAGAGTCATTGACTGCACCTACTTGGTAAACCATGTGCCCAAAATCAACTGAGGACTCGTAAAGCACTGGGGTCTCCTCCCCATCTGGTGTGCAAACACAAAATAGGATCATCCATGGAGTTGCCATCATTCTGTTCCAATCCAAGCTCCCAAAACCCTTTGCAACTGCAAGCAGACTGAAGGAGTGACGGATAAGAAATAGGGATACACACAAAGGATACCCTTGAGACTCCCAATGAAGCCCTAGAGCAATGCGACAAAGTCATCTGGCATGTGGTCAGATGTGGATTGAGCAAGCATTCCACGTGCTCACGACAGATTTGAAGGTATCTTTTCAACCAGCCAGAATCTACAGAATGAACTGCAGTAGAGCAGCAACATTTGGAACTACAGAAGGAACAAGAATGCACCTTCATGAGTACACATCTATGGATGATTCCAATGACAAGGAGGCAAATGATGAAGATGATGACAGGACACCTGCTGACAGGATGCCAGGGAATCGCATATTGTTGCAAGATTAAGTTAGCTACTACCACTAGAATTATGTAACAATCATACGATAATAACATTGAGAACTACAGGACACAGGTTTAGTGATTGGTAAAAGAACTAAAAGTTACATGAGGTAAAGGTTTTTATCCAAGGTATGATTATGATAAGCAATGCTCTGCCCAAAGAAAAACAGTGAAGTCTGATTCAACTGTGGTTTTCAAACCAAATTTGGTAAACATTTGAATTAGCTAAATTGCCCTTGCAGATAGCTGGCACAAACTCAATGGGTCAAAAGACCTCCTGTGCAATCACCATTTTAAGTTCCGGTTCTATTCCAACTCCAATGGCCACACATATCCTAATCGCCTGTTTACAAAAATCCATTCTAATGGATTATGCTATAAAGTGGACGTTGACCCTCTCCCTCTGAGAACCAAAACAGAAACACCCAAAGAGGAGCACCTCGCTCTATAATCTGTTAAAAGGAGTGTGAAAAGGGGTGTAAGCTGTCTTTCAGCACTTCTAGTGGTTAAATCAAATAAATCCCTGGCACTCACTTTACAATCAACAAGGAACAGTTTACTTATCTAACTCTGGCAGTGAACAAATTAACTGTACGATTAACAAACCAAACAAATCTCTTCTAACTACTAACTATTCCTGAATAACACCAAGATTCTAATCGTATGCTGTTCCAATAAATACAAGTCTCACTCATATAACAAAACAATAGAAAGTAATCTTTCAAAATTACAGTCAGGTTACATCTTCCAGAATGTTCCATGTCTTCTCCGTTGATTCTTGTGTCAGGAATGCTTTCTCTGTCAATTCTTCCGTCAGGAATCTTAGCTAGGAGTGTCGTGGTACTGTTGTGAATAAATGGTGCTTTCTCTAAGAGCTGAGAGCTGTTATCTCTAGCAGATGGCAGTTAGCTCCACCAATTTTCCAACTGCCCCTTTCTTTTATACCCCGATGACATATAAATTTCTTACAATCAGATTGGTCCTCAGTTGTCAAAATCATCAGATTCAAATTCGATAGATTTTTTGGTATCTGAGTGCCAGGTTCAAATTGATTGGCTAAATTCAAAACGTGTTATCTTGGTAACAATGTTGCTAATGGTACGGCCTTTCGATACAAATGTTTCAATTTGGGTTCTCTCTATACTTGCAAACTTTCAAGCTACTCACAGATATCTCCAAGAATAGAAAACACACAATATTTTAAAGGGATTATGCAAAGCTTTCCCCTCTAGCATTTTAGAAAAACCAATATTTTACAGGCACCAAATTCTAATGTCCTACCTCCCAATCCACAAATACTCTACCCAACTTAGCAACACCTCCCCCCTTAAGAAAAAAATGAACCATCATTATGAAAAGATGGCTTTTTTTTTCTAAAACCTTAACTCCATTACATTGTTAGACCCATAGCTCATTAATTGAGAGTTAAACGTTTTAAACTAAATCCATTTATCTATAACATTGAACACTATTGTTTCTATTTTATATAAGCATCTACAATAACATTTTCATGACCCACAACATGTACAACCTGTAAATTAAATGCTTGTAACATGAGATTCCAATGAAATAATCTGGTGTTCTTGTCCTTAAGTCTTTCCAGAAATGTCAAAAGATTATGATCAGTATACACAACTGTTTCTGATGCATTGTTTCCAACTTAAACATTAAAATGTTGCAAGGCCAGTACCAAACTCAATAACTCTTATTCAATGGTTGAATATCTTTTATGGTGGATCATTGAGTTTTTTTTTGGAAAATACCTGATTGGCCTTTCAATTCCACAATCATCCTCCTGTAACAACATACTTCCAACACCTATATCGCTTCTGTCGATGGTGATTTTCAAGGGTTTCAAAAAATATGGCATGGCTAAAACTGGTGCAGTGGTTAACACTGCTTTTAAATTCTCAAATGCCTCTTAGCATTGTTCTGCACATCCCTGAATACTATGGGCAATTTAGCATGGCCAATCCACCTAACCTCACATCTTTGGACTGTGGGAGGAAACCGGAGCACCCAGAGGTGTTTTTTTAACAAATCCATCAACGGTGCCACCACGTTACTAAAGTTTGGTGCAAATTTCCTGTAGAATCTGCTCAATCTTAAAAATTGTAGCACTTCCTTCTTTGAGGAAGCTCTTGGAAATTCCTCAATAGCCTTTGTCTTCACATTTCTGGGTGTCATCCGTCCATGTCTGACGTTGTATCCTAAGAATGTCACTTCTGCCTTCACGAATTCTGTTTTTGCCAAACTGATGACTAACTTTGCCTTCTGTAGTCTCTCAAAGAGTTCTGCCAAATGCTCCATGTGATCTTTCCACAAATGGCTAAAGATCACTAAGTCATCTATGTAGATGGCACAGTTAGTCAATCCTGCAACAAATCTGTTCATAAGCCTTTGAAAACAACCATTGGGCTGCACAGTGGCTCAGTGGTTAGCACTGCTGCCTCACAGCACCAGGGACCTGGGTTTGATTCCACCCTTGGGCAACTGTCTGTGTGGAGTTTGCACATTCTCCCCATGTCTGCGTGGGTTTCCTCTGGGTGCTCTGGTTTCCTCCCACAGTCCAAAGATGTGAGGTTAGGTGGATTGGCCATGCTAAATTGCCCATAGTATTCAGGGATGTGCAGGTTAGGTGGGTTATAGGGGGATGGGTCTGGGTGGGATGCTCTGTGGGTCGGTGTGGACTTGTTGAGCTGAACGGCCTGTTTCCACACTGTAGGGATTGTAAAAAAAAAAGTGGCTGGTGCATTTTTCAATCCAAAGGGCATTATTTTAAATTGATATAGCCCATTTGGGATTACAAGAGCCAAAACCTCTCTCGCTCTCTCCAACAAAAATACTTGCCAACAACTGCAAAGTAAGTCCAACATTGTGATGTAAGTGGCTTGTCTTATTTTTTCTCCACAGTCCTCCAGCCACAGAATTAGGTATGAGTCAGATTTGGTTATGGCGTTGACCTTCCAATAATCTATGCAGAATCATTGAGTACTGTCAGGTTTGGGAACAAACACGATCAGCAAACTCTACTCACTTTGACTCGGTTCAATGATGTCTTCTTGGAACATCGCTTCTGCTTCCTTCTGAACCTGCGCTGCTTTGGGAGGATTAAGCTTGTAGGGGTATTGTTTTATCAGAACACCATTCCCTAAGTCAACCTCATGTACAATGGCATTAGTCCTCCCCATTCGATTTCTACATATGTCCTCATGGAACTGCAACAAGTCTTTCAATTCAGCTCTCTGCTCTTGGGACAGATAGTTCACCACCTATCCCATTCCTTAAGGACTTCCTCATTATTCAATTTATTCTGAGACACATCAAAATCCATATTGTCTGGATTTGATTTCTCACTCTGAGTAGCTGTAACTAATACCTGTTTCTCCGGTTCCTTTTCCCTGTCATAATAAGGTTTCAGCATGTTCACATAACATACCCGATAAATTTTTTTCCTATCTGGCACCTTTACCAGATAATTCACTTGATTTAACTTCCACTCAATCTGATAGGGTCCACTAAAACTTCCTTTGAAGGGATCTCCTACCACTGGTAACAGCACTAATGCTTTAACCCGATAGGCAAAATTACGAATTTTAGATTTCTTATCTGCTTCTTGCTTTGTTAGGTGCTGTGCCACCTTCAAATGTTGTCTAGCTAATTCAGGATGGTACGCATTTGATTTAAAGTGTTTGATGCCTAAACTATCCATGACCTTCTTAAATAATTTGGCAGTAAAACTGGACCCTTGGTCTAACTGAATCTCCCTGGGTATGCCTTAACAGATAAAGAAAGCAAGCAACTCCTCCACAACCTTTTTTGCCTTGACATTCTATAATGGAATTGCCTCCAGAAACCTTGCAGACACATCCATTATGGTTAGCAAATA